AAATTAATATTGAGCTCAAATAAAATTAGAAAGGGGATTTATTTCCAGTAGAACAAACAAACATTTTATAACTGCCTCTATTACTTAGCTATTGTTTTCTTTATCTAGAGGTTATTTGATAACCTGAGGAGGGAACTAATATCGCCAACAAGAACATACTACAGTACATGGTCTTTGTTTATCTTTTCTTGACTGCCTCAACACAAACTGAAATGCATGAAAAGATAAAGGTATGCATAGAAGCTAACAGATGGTGTGAATCTTAGCCATGCAAATATTGCTCAGAAGTGAACACATTAAAAGGAACACCGCTGTGAGAGGTGTTAGGAGGCGCCATGGTGGGAGTAAAACTGTTCAGTTACTGAAGCAATACAGACAGGAATGTACACCTGGATAATCAGTGCTTGGAGCTCTGTGACCTATGTTTAGAAAATAATCATTCATCATCATCACTTCACTGTTCATTGATTAAGAACTTGCAAATACTGTACATGGAACTCACCTAAAAACTTGCCAATCAACAAGCCGTGTAAGACACTGTGTTATTATAAAACATACTTTTGATGTCTGAAATTTATATTTTCCCCAATAAATTATTTAGAAGTTATTTAAAGCAAAAAAGAAACATTTCATTGGCTTGGTTTCTTTTTGTGATTTATGACTTAATGCATTCGTAGAACCAGTAAAAATATGCAAAAATAAATTTATTTTTAGATGAAACTCCATAGATAAACAACTCATGCTTCATCTGAAAAGCATGCATTTGTAAGCACTGGGTGAGCTTTCTGGCTGAGCAGGAAGCATTAATGAATGCAATCTCTAAAACACCAGAAAACAAGAGAAAACCCTGCAGTGAGCACTTGCCTTCATCCGGCAGTGGTAAATTGACTATTTGGTGATACAGAATTAAGGACATTTTTACGATCAGTACAATATGCAAAAAAGTGCATTTGTCATGTTTGATTTACTGCATTTGGTGAAGGGTGTAATTCATGTGAAAATACATATTACATTACACAACTAAATGAGTCATAAACTAAACCACACTTTTCAAATGCATCTTAAAACTACTTTATAATGCTATTCCTTCATCAAAATCATGCACAAAGTGGTATTTCCCTTGATTCAATTATGTCTGAGTATTCCTCATGAACTCTGCTCTCTAAGGAGTAGCCCCTCCTTGCTCCATGGAAATGAGAGGTCATCCCCGTCTTACACAGGAAAGTGTTAACCTTGCCCCACCAGGAACTACCCGCCTTAACCTTACTGTGCCCACATAAACAGCCATTTTCTCCAATATGGCAGGGGTCATGTGAGATAGAGCATAATGATTCCGGCTCAAAGTTGAGACAAAACCTGTGTTCTAATGTCTGCCCTAAACCCTAAATCCTTTAATCACTATATAGGTGAATACATAGTGGAATTTTTAGTGAACTCAATTAACTGACCTTTCAGAAAAATGATCACTACTTTTCATTCCTCGTCTGTCAAAAAATGCCCGTGCCATTTTTTATTGTTATTGTGACTGCCACTAACCGATCTGCCCCGCAAGCACGATCCGTACCATCAGGTCATTTGTGCATGCGCAACCGGATATACATCCGGGTTTCCATAAATAATGTAAATATAGTAATAATATCTTATCTAATATCATATCTATCATTACATATATTTCTATCACTAAATAATGCTAACACACATCTTTAAGACATTTTTTATGACTTTTCTGAGACAATTTCGATGCTTTTTCTATTCTCTCCGATAAACTGCTTGTGGCATCATCACCAGGCATGTTCAAAGTAGTCTGGTAATATATGATTAAACCATGTTTATCTGCATTTTAGTTGTTTCTTTCTTTCTTTAGGTTATGTACTATACACCATGAAAAGAAAAAACTAAAAAAAGAATAGAGTTACCGTAAATTCTCTAATATTGGCCTGTATTCCATTAGCGGCCGGGACTCTAACATTGGCCGGTCTCGCTGTCAGAGGAGGTAAATAATGGCCGGTCTCTAAAACAGGCCGGGGCTATAAACGTTTTTTCTGGGCATACCTCAACATTATACTTGTGGTAGTAACATACAAGTACCACAGCCCTGCGCAGCTGGACGACAGGCCCTGACTGCTGCCCGTCTGCGCGAGGAAGAGAACAGACACGCAGCAGAACATGAGGAGGAGCGCGAGTGATGAGGAGATTAAAGGGAGAGATGAAGAGGAGGAGGAAACTGAGGAGGATTAAACAGAATTGGAGGATTTTTTTTTTCTTTTTTACTTCAAACCAGGCAAGACATGGTAACTGTACTTTTTCAATAAATGAACCTAGTGTTTTATAGGTTCAAATAGACACAAAATCTCATTTTTATTCATTCCACTGGTAGTCTGTTTTGCTCAAATAGCAATAGAGGCCTGTCTCTAATTCTGGCCTCTTTCCAATAAAGGCCTGGACCGCGATGCACTTGAGTGAAATAAAGGCCCGGGCCTATATTAGAGGATTTACGGTATGTTTTAATCCAAAGTGTCAGGAATCCAGTTTGTGTGGTCTGTTTTGTGTCTGTCTGTCCCTCCACCACCAGGTGGCGCCCTGTCATTGTTGGTCCTCCCTGCACTCCTGCGGCTCTTTGGATCATTATCTGGAGGAGTACTTAAGCAGTGGACTGTCCCTACCTTGACGCCAGAGTGTTTGCCAGTTTTGGGTACTCTAGCCATGCTTAGATTAGCAGAGTCTAACCTGAGTCTTTGTTTCACTGAGCCTAGTTGAGTTTTTGTTTCTCTGAACCTAACCTTGTTTTTGTCTTTGCCTTTGGCAGGAAGTCCTCCTGCGTACTGGATGTTTGGCCTTCTTCCCCTGGAAGGATTGTTTACAGAGTTCACACTGAGCAGGGGAGAAACCTCCACATAGGCCGTTCAAGTCCCTCATGGAAATCCAAGTGACAGTCCGCTCCGTTGCTCTTCCGGGTCCTAAGTATGTCTACCAGTCCATTCTTCAACAAGTCCCCTCTTCTCAGGATCGACCCACACATTTTGGATTCAAAGTGAGAGAAGAATCTAGGTATTTGTTCAGGCTTCAGATGCGCCATGATAAAGAGGCGTCATGCAATGGTCAGCAGCACATACTATAAAGGAGTGTTTTTCTTATGGCTGGATAAAGAAAACTCATATTTCATAACAAATTATTACCCACATAGTGCTAAAGGAATTATTACATCATGAATCTAAAGAAAGTAGTGTGGCCAAAAACACCACTATTTGCAGAATAAACCAATTTGGGAGCTACAGCTAGTGTGCGGATCCATCTTTGTCTTATCTATGTTGCCTTCATAGTCTGGCACTAAGTCTTAACTATCTCAGGATGTGCGGGATTTTTGAACCCTTTTTGTAAGAAAAGAACTCTTATTTCGTAACAAATTAATACCCACATAATACTAAAGGGATTATCACATCCTATTCATCCCTATAGTTAAAAGGCTGTTAGAAAGGCTTAGAAAAGCATGATATATGACCTTTAAGCAAAATACATTCATTGATTATGATGTCACCTTTATATTGAAATGTTATGACTATAATGTATGTTCTAAGTTAAATAAATTCATTTAAAAGTGTGTTTCACACTTTTTTCCATGCTGTTGTGTTCCTATTTTTTTTTTTCACTTCTTTTGTTGTTTTTTAGGGAGAAAATACATCATTAAAAAGATCTTCAGATGTTTACTGTAGAATCTTCCCTTGATTGAAGAACATAAAATGCAACCTAAAACAATAATGATCGGGTAAGCGACAGCTGCTGGTTAATGACAAATTATTTTAAAGGGTAATTTGAAAAACAAAATCTTTCATGGATGTAAGCATTTTGATTTCAACTGGATTTTTGGTAGTTTCAATGAGTATCAGCATTAAAATGACCATTCAAACATAAATGATGTAGTAGGGTGCTAAGACAGAAAGAGATGCTAAGTTAAAAATAAACAAAGCTTCTGCATTTTATTAAGGGCTATTATATTAGCACTTTTCCATTAGGGAAATGAACAAATACAAAAAAAAAAAAAAACATAACTGTATATTTGGGCACAAATAACAAGTATTGCTGTTTCTGTAAATTAAATTTATCATAGTAGTTTAAACTCTGATGATTATATTTCTGTACTCATAGGCAGTGTATCTAAAGGAAAAAGAAAATTGCAACATGGTAGGTGATTTTCTTCCCTCTTTCTGGAGTGCAAATTTTAGAACAACTCAGGCGTTGCCATTTGATGTATTGTGAGATCAGCTGGGTTGCCTCTGCACTTTGAGGTTACAAATATAAAGGCAGCATGAATAAAAGGCAGCATGAATAAAAGCTAGCATGGCTCCACAAGTAACTTGTCATACAAAGTAGGAAGATTCTGGGTTCTGAGGTCTTTATCCCAGCCTCATGCTTTCAGGTAAGGCGTTGAAATGTCAGGATAGAATGAAATCTCATCTCCATTCTATAACAGATTGTATTTCTCATTACAATTTCATGTTAAAACACTACATTTATCCACCGTAATGACCCAACACATCACAGTAATAACAGCAGAAAATTGCAGTTACATAGCATAACTTATTTTTTTTCTCTGAATTGCATGGTAGTTCCTCATAACATGACATGAATCGGCAAAGCTACTTATTTTTCCTGCAACGACCCGGTCTTTTCTCAGCAGTACAGTCAACTTCCAACAACCATAAAGCAACCACCTTGATTTAAATTGTCCTTTGAATGATGCCTATCCTAAATACAGCTCCCACCTCATAATCTCCATCATTTCCTTCAATTACATTCCCAGTCCCCAGGCACCAACCAATCTCTGGTTTCTTTTCTGGTTTTAAAGCCACACACTGTCTGTTGCTCTTAATAACAGTGACAGCCTTCTGTCCTTTCTCCTAGCAAGCTGTTAAATGCTGTGAGGTGAGAGCAGATGACCAAGTGCAAAAGAAACCAAGAGGGAAAATATGTAAGCATGTGTGTGTGTATAGCTAGATTATTACCTGTTCTTTGACAGATGCCAGGATTGACGATGCTGTCTCCGTCTCAGGTCTGTCTCCGTTGGAGGCAGGCATCACAGGGGCAACCATAGCCCCCTTCTCCTGCTCTGCTGGCTGGTCTGGCACTGGCATTGCTAATAATAAAACAAAAATAGAGCAGAAATGTGTATGTTTAAAAAAGAGCATGCTTAACAATCAAATTTGTTATGAGGCTATCCATAGAAACTTATATTTAAATAAACACCATCCACAAAGAAATTTGCCATTGTGCTCAACAACCCTGAGTTCACAGTGACTGGTTGGGGCACGTAAATAAAGCAAACAAACAACTATTTCATTAATTAATCTACAATACACTCAAGCACACAGCTCAACTTGTCACATTCAGTGTGTTACTTTACAAACAGAGGTCCTGGTAGACTTGTTAAAATGTGATCCCCCACTTACCACATTTAAAATACTCTATCTAGGCAAGTGATACATGTTGGAAAAGGAATTTTAAAGACAAGAATCAGTTTAGTGATTGCTATCTAGGGAAAAGAAGCACACATAGCATGTGGATCTGTGTTAAACCCACATGAGTTGCTTAAGCACCATCTAACCAAATATGATCATTAAAATCGGTCCAGCATGGATTCTCCTGACCACCCCCAACGCCTTTGATGTTTTACAAACAGCCGTATTCATTAAGTATAGAATGCTTTACAATGAGGCTCTTTTAAAAGTACCTTAAAAATGTAAGCAGTTAATAATTATGCTATTAATTAGGCAACATTCCTGTATCAAAAAACACTGTATTTGTGGACATGATGTAATATTCTACTCTTAAAAATGGTATTTCATAAATTGAAAGTGAAAAATCAACCTTGAAAGAATGAAGTTTGCAAAAATAATACTGTGCATTTAATCTAATGTGTTTTGCATGGTGCATTTTGTGTTTGTCCAATCAAAGTTGGTCATAAATGTGAGACAACATAGCTGGTCTGCAAATCAAATACATATTCATTCCCATGGCCTCCAAGCTAACTGTAAAACAGGCTGCTAGGTAGATAGGACAATGTTTGTAAATAAAATATGCGACTAAGAGGCCCCGCGGATAGTAATTTTCACTCTCACTGACAAACACTACTTCTGTGTCTGGCATCTCCCCTCCTGAGTGAAGATGAGTCACCGCAGCCTGGCTCCTAAACAACCAGAAACCCCGACAAAGAGCAAATTAGACGTGCTGGCTGGCACTCACATTTTTCCTGAATGAAACAGCCAAATCTGGAAGCTGAAAGACTTCTTACTGCTTTAGTGGAATCATACATTTGTTCTCAAGGGAATAGCTCTTGGAATGAACCAGTGGCCAAACACAGAACGACCTTGTTAAAATACTAGCAATGTAACTAAATCGTTTGGACAGCACAACTTCTGCTTTACATTTTACATAATTCCTAAGAGGAATTTTTTCTTTTTTTACTTTAAGTTTAACAAAAATGAAAATATATATTATTTATTACTTGGTTGAACATGTTATCCAGGTGAAGCATAAAATTCATGGTGGATTTAAAAATACATTGCAATTAAAAGGTGAACTGCTTAGAAATGCTGAGTTAAGAATATATTTTATAAAAACTAGAATGCCCTTTTAGTGTTTCCAAAAATAGTTTTACCCATGACAAACCAAGTTCTTGATAGCTCAGCACTGAAAATTAGGAACTTAACTGAAATGATAAGGTAGATATTCTTCATTCTTCATGATTTCTTATAAAATAAAGTCTTAAATAACGAATAGTTCATGGTTTGAAATGCCAGTGAACATACTGGTTACAACATCATGTAGTATGTGCATCAAGGCATATTACCACCTTATCTAAGTGTGCAGTCCTTCCAGGAAATATTCACAGCACTACACTTTTTCCAGATTTATTTATGATACATTCTTATTCCACACAGCATCAGGTAAAGTCTCTCTCCTCAGAAATCTATACACAACACCCTGACAGTGTAAAACAAAAAAGTGGTTTGGTAGCAATCAGAGCCTCAAGTCTTTTTGGGTATGGTGCCACAAGTTTTGCTCACCTATCTTTGGGAAGTTAGGCCTATTATTCTTTACATCTTTAGTTCTATCAGCTTGAGGCAAATACTGAACTGTGACTCCAGCACCCTAAGCAGGATTTTATCCAGGATGCCTGCATATTGCTTCATTTACTTTTCACTCTTACCTAACTAGGCTGCTGGTTCTAAAAAAAAAAAACTAAATCCCCATAGCATGCCACTGCCACCTCTATGCTTCACAGGATGGTTTAGGCTTCTAAACATGATGCTCTGTACACCATTGAGTTCAGTCCTTGTCTCATCAGATCAGAACTTGGTCTTTGATTGTCTGAGAGTACTTCCCGTGCCTATTTGGTAAACTCCAGACAGGATGCCATGTGCCTGATTGGTGGATTGCTGCAGCGATTGGTGCCCTTCTAAAATGTTCTCGTTTCTCCACAGAGGAACAATGAAGCTCTGACAGAAGGACTATGGGGTTCTACATCACCTCCTTGCCTTAACCCCCAGATTCAACATTCTCCATTTTCACTCCACTGTTACTTAATGAGAACAGATCCACATTATCTTTTAATCCTCCATCTTTTACCATCAAAATACAAAATATGTTCCACTCAGGCCCTCTTGGCTACGGCCGGACCTCCCACGCATGCTCTCTTCGAAGTTCACAGAACTTTGAGCAAAACTTGATGGTATATCATGGATGTAGTAGGCGTTGCTTTTCACAGACATGCTGAGCCGGTCTGCAACTGACCTGACATGGACAGGAAGGGAGGATGAGGGATCTGGGAGTAAGACAGTATACAGAAATGTATGTGTCTCTCCTAATTACATCCAATTAAAGGAGAATTCCGGTTTTTAACACTTTTAGCCCATTTTCTGTAGTGTCCAGGATGAAATCGAATGATCGACACCAAAATTTTGACAATTGGTCCTGTCTCTGCTTTTTGGCTCATTTAGAATCCACCCCTGGCTGCTTCAGAATGGCTTTCATAGTGCATGTCCGATAATGTCCTTAAAACAACCTTAAACGTTCTTTTTTTAAAATATGCTACTCACCGGGTCGTCAGCGCTGTTCAATGACGTTCCAAAAAAAGTTTCGTGAAGAAAAAACGTTCCTGTAGTGTTTTATTTAGCATTTTGTAAATCCCATTAAGTTCTGTTGGAATAGTCAATATTCCCCTGCCACCGGAAACGGAAATGGGGCCTGTTTACACAGTTGTAGTCTTTTCGCTTCACTCTGTGTACTCCGACGTCGAGAATCAAGAATCCACCTTTCATATTCCATTTTCAGAGTTTTTTAAAGTGTTTAACAGAGACGTTATCACCTCGACGTCGGAGTACACAGAGTGAAGCGAAAAGACTACAACTGTGTAAACAGGCCCCATTTCCTTTTCCGGTGGCAGGGGAATATTGACTATTCCAACAGAACTCAATGGGATTTACAAAATGCTAAATAAAACACTACAGGAAAGTTTTTTCTTTACGAAACTTTTTTTGGAACGTCATTGAACAGCGCTGACGACCCGGTGAGTAGCATATTTTAAAAAAAGAACGTTTAAGGTTGTTTTAAGGACATTATCGGACATGCACTATAGAAGCCATTCTGAAGCAGCCAGGGGTGGATTCTAAATGAGCCAAAAAGCAGAGACAGGACCAATTGTCAAAATTTTGGTGTCGATCATTCGATTTCATCCTGGACACTACAGAAAATGGGCTAAAAGTGTTAAAAACCGGAATTCTCCTTTAACTGAATATACCACAAGTGGAGTCAGTTTAACCTTTAGAAAGACCTCAAGGATGATCAGTGGAAATAGTATACACCTCAGCTCACTTTTGAGCTCAAAGGCCAATAAAGGAAGTGAATATTTGCATAGGTGTGAATTCTTAGTTTTGGTTTTTAATAAAATTTGTAAAAATCTAAGAAAAAAACCAAAACATTTTTTACACATGAGGAGAAGAATTTTCAGCAAAAAGATTTGGAATAAGGATTTGACCTAGATAAATATGGAAAAAGTGTCCAGATGCTCTGTGATTATTTGGACAAAACGTCAATGCTATTCAAGCCACTCAGCCAGGTACATTTGTTCATGCTCAATGCTGGTTAGAACACCTACATCAAATGGATGTTGAAATGTAAATTAAATGTAAAGTCTTACTTGGTAAAGATCTAAACAAGCTCTGGAATTAATTTTCTTAGCATTTATTGACAGAAAATGTTATAATATGAGCTCATAAGATTAAACCCAATAAATACACGCTACATTGTGTCATATCCACAATGCTCGGTATATCAACCAGCAATTACACGTCTGCCTGTCCTCGAGAAATGCTGTCTCGTAAGACAGGATTATCTTAATGACCTCCAAAAAAAAAAAAAAACAACCCTGGAGTACTTGTACTTTGGAGACACCACATGCATCAAAACATATCTTGCCTGTGGAAACCAGTAATTCAATATATAGAGCACAGAAAGAGTCTTTCTGATTAGCATCCAGCAGGTGCTTTGCTCAGAAAATTGCAAAGTTGGCTCACTGTATATTGGCTGCTGCAGGGGTAATTCCGGTGCCAACACATTTACCATCATAAGTCATAACACAGTGGCACCACAAAGCTATTGTTCAATAGACATACTCCGTCCTGCAGGGTACAAAGTCACAAAAACCTTCAATTGGGTTTTTGTAGCTCTTCAATTGTATCTCATCTTAAGTGTTTAAATAAAGACTGACTTTCCATTGAATTGGTAAGGAGTGATCATCTGACATTTTAATCGGTCAAATCTGAGACTGAAAAAAAAGCTTTTTCTTTTACACAACCTGAATTTAGACTCAGTGTTATTCTAATCTTCTTTGAAAAAGCAAAGCACGAGGCAACAAAAACATTAAAAATAAGAATAAAGGTTCCTTTTTTACTTAGATGTTTTAAGTAAGCTAATGTGGTGTGTATATTTGAATGATAATGAATTTAGACCTGCAGGTTCTGCGTTGCACACTTCACAGTGCAAAAACAGAGCATGGACAACAGATGATTACATTTAAAGGATCATTTACAGGTTAATTAGGATAAACAGCACCTGACTCACTTATAATTTGTTTCA